TATGCTCAGCATGAGACAGACATGGACCATTACGAACCTGTGCCACTTACTGCGCCGCAGATTCATGAAGTGTGAGCAGCTTTGCGGGCAGCAGGACACCGTAGTGCCACTGCGTGCATTTGTGAGGCCTTCGAAGAAAGGGCTTTCCCACCACCGATGTACTGCGTGGCAATCAGAAACGCAAAGAGAGCAGTCGCCCGTGCTTTAGGACCTCCTCGTCGTGCGCCAGAAGTTCCGTTGAGATGGCTAGCAGTCATTCGTGAGGGGCCCAGAGATCAGTCGTGTGGTGCCTGGCCGAACGACCGATACGAGGTTTGGGCGTTCGCGACCAGGTTCATTGAGAGAGCAAGAACTTGCCTGTATCTTCATACAGGAAATTGAAATGAACCACAGGCTTCAGCAGGTCACCCTCAACCTCCCGGTGACGAAGAGCGACGCAATGGGTCGCGGAGCTCGCAGGACCTTAGGTTGCGTTTGTTCGAAGTGCCCTAAAGAGAAGGCAACGTGCCCATACTGCATTGCCAACTACCTGCTGCAGCGCCAAGAGAGGCGATTGGGAGTCCAGACGAGTTCAGCGGAAGCCTTTGAGGCGCCTTTGGTCGGAAGACAAGAGGACCCAAGGTTGGTAGTTGAGAAGTCTGCCATGATTGAGGCCTTCCAGTATGACATGGGCATCCTCAGCGACATATTTCCTGAAGCTCATGGACTGCTGGCAACAGATGTCACTGGCCACACTTTCCGACGTTTGGGAGTGAAAGAGCTGGCTCGGAAGAACGCGCCGCTCCTGTTGATCCAGTTCTTTGCCAGGCATTCACCAGCAGCAGTCCTAGAGGAGGCCTATGAGGAATGCCCTGACGGCAACCTTCAGGTCCTCAACCACTTAGAGATGAGGGACCAGATCGCCTCATTGTCCGGAAAGACGAACGATATGTCAAAGGCCTACGACCAGTTGAAGGCCGAATGTGAAGAGCTCGCAGCAAAGTGCAATTTGCCCTTGGATCGGTCAGCCATATTGAAAATGTTTAATCAGTGGAGTCGCCCGGAAGTGGTGATCAATCTGATGACAGGCAAGACCCACTCCACGGCAGGAAATTCATTGCGAAACCACCCTAATGAATGGGTGACGGCGTGCGGGTGGCCATGGATTGCAGCAGAGCGGCGCTAGAGCCCGCTGACTTGCCAAATTCGGATCGAGTGACACCGTGTGAGCGGTGTAAGGAGAAGTTGCCGGAATGGGCAAGACCTGAAGCGATCCAGTAGAAGATGGACCACAGCAGGGGTATGAAAAGGGTGTTTTTTGAGTTTTTGTCTCGCGTCGCTCGTTACTGCACTTTGATACAGTTCGTTGATCGACCGAAACTGGATATGAGGTCACAAGGACAACACGCGCAACATCCCTGCTTCCGGGAACCCAGCCAGTTTCAGGCCCGATAGTTCGGGGGGCTCAAAGCGGTAGATCGCTTGAGAAGCAACATGCACCCATGCAGTGGACAACTCGCAGTAAAACAACCGCATGTGCACTAGACACTTGTGAAAGAGAAGGGTTGTTTGTGTATATAGATATAGAATTAAAAGGGTGGTAGGGGGTGTTAGCTGTGAACGACTGTAACAGTTTTCGTTCGATACTACCTGTAGGATACTACCAGTAGGATACTATTTGTAGGATACTATCTGTAGGATACTGTCTGATACATTCAATTATTGATGGATGATTTCCACCATGAAGCGCATCATGCATGATGTTTAGCTTTAGTTTTTGACGAATTTATCTGGTGGGGTTGCCAGGTTGCAAGCGTGGTGGACCCTTTGGCGAACGTGTGTTGTGATAGGTCCCTCAGTTTGGATGGCATCCTATCTACTGAATCTATTGGCGTGACAACCTTTGAATTTCTTTGGTTGCTTGATGTGGCTCTGACCAATGTTGCACTTGTATTTCAAAATGGCGGAACAACCTGACCTTTGCCTTTCAATGAGCGGAATTGCCGCAACTGGAACGCAGGTGAGGAAAAACATTGTCTCAGCGCTTGCGGCTTGCAAATTGTCACATTTGTCCTGTAGACTTAATGTCACTCTGAGTACAACTCAGAGCATCCTCACATTCTCATTCTCAGGGCACTACAGAGGAATATAAGTCTGAGAGTTTCTGGATGATGATGATGACGACGAGGAGGATGATGATGATGATGACGACGAGGATGATGATGATGATGATGATGACGAGGATGATGATGATGACGAGGAGGATGATGATGACGATGACAAAGATGATGACAAACATGATGATGATGATGACGATGACGATGACGATGACGAGGAAGATGATGACGATGATGATGATGATGAGGAAAATGACGAGGTTGATGATGATGATGACGACGAGGGTGATGATGAGGATGACGACGATGATGATGACGAGGGTGATGATGATGACGACGAGGATGATGATGATGATGACGAAGAAGAAAAAGATGACGATGACGATGACGAGGATAATGATGACGAGGGTGATGATGATGACAAAGATGATGATGACGATGACGAGGATGATGATGACGAGGGTGATGATGATGATGATGATGACGAGGATGATGATGATGACGAGGCTGATGATGACGATGTTGATGACGAAACAGATGATGATGATGATGACGATGATGAGGATGATGATGACGAGGAAGATGATGATGATGACGATGACGAGGATGATGATGATGACGAGGATGATGATGATGAAGATGACGAAGAAGAAAATGATGATGACGATGACGATGACAATGACGAGGATGATGATGATGATGATGATGACAAACATGATGATGATGATGACGATGACGATGACGAGGAAGATGATGACGATGATGATGATGAGGAGGA